GGAAAAAAAGCTTGCTTTTTCTTTGTGTTTCTCTTAACACAGCATCTATCCTTCCTTAACAAAACAGAAGTCTGTTTTAACTGTTGCATGTGTTCTGCAATCATTTAAACACTGAAACCTCAAAACACACCTCAGTATTGCTGTCTAGTTTATGCCAACCTGGAGCATGGAAAGCACTCTTAGAAAGATACTTTTGATAGGCTTGTTCCAACACGTTTATTTGCTTTTGATTAAATGGCTTCCATTTTTGCCTCCGTTTCAGTTCCCAAACAACACCAGAACTGCAAGACAAGTAACAAGGTTAACAATAAAAGTACTTAAACCTTTCTTATGCATGCAAACCATGTAAAAAGATGTAATCCTAATTTTTCAGGCTCAAAAACCCCCTATTGTTTACTTTTTTTTAATAGAAGCTAAGACAGGAGGCAGTTAAATCCTGTTTAGTCAAATTGCACAACAGGAATAAAGGCAAAACTTAATTTTACTTAAAAAGGTTTCACTTATATTAATTTCATTTGAAAGATGAACCCTCAACTCAACTGTATTGTTAAAATCATAATATGCTGTCAAATTTTAATTATTCAAAGGAACATCTAGGCTTCCATGTGCAGTACCTAGTAATTCCTATATAAGAGATTTCTTTTTTATTTTCATTGTTAACAAGAGAAAGTCCAAGACTATGGATTGACAAGTTTATTTCTTGATCAGGTTGCTCCAGCTCCTCTGCTTGTCGTGCTTTAGAAACTAATGCAACATCATCTGTGAAAAGTAGCACTCGTTGGCGTCCATCCAAGAAAGACACCCAGTGTATTTGAGTATTTGCATTGTAAGGGAATTGGCCACATTCATCCTGTATTGGGAAAAAGAAAAAAAATTATATAAGAAGTATATTACAGGAGTAAATCCATGATGTTGCTGTATATTTATAAGCAAGCAAGTTTACTGGCACACATACAAACCAGAACTCAGTATTTTTCTTGTTTGTTCAGTTTATTGCATCATACTGATTTGGTGGTGTCTTGTATCCCAACGCTGGAGAGAAGTTGGGGGTTGAGATTTTCTTTTTTCCCCCCCTTCTGAAAAGTAGGCATTCCAGAAATATTTGTGGATGAGAATATTGGAAATTATTACTAAACAAAGACCTTCACAGCAAAAGAAAATACTTAGAATCATAGGTGATGGGGGAAGAAGGCATTAAATCATATACCACGAAACAGTAAAACCAGGTAACGATTAAGATCTCTGCTCTTCAAATGCAGATATTCCTTATTTGTTATTTTGTGAGGCACAACTGAGATAGTTAAAGCCCTTTTCTCAAAAGCCTAGAAAAATCATGAATGTAACCATAATTATATACTAAGGAAATCAAACTAAAAAAAACCTTTTAAATATAAAAAATTTGACCCAAGAAAGTAGTTACATAGTAAAGCACAATGTAATTGGCTAACTGCCAGAGTTCAGCTGGGAGAAACTAAATCCATTCCCAATATAACAGAAACACAAGCTTGCTTTCCTGTCCCTACTTTTAGCTACTAATGTTTTCAGTTTTCTTATCTTAAATCTGTGCTTAGTCAACAGAAAAACCAAGACACCTCTGAAGAACTCAGAGTTCAGTAAAAGGTGCAAGAGGACTGCTATTTAGAGACAGACACATAGGACTTTATTTAGCCTAAATTCCAGTTAAGTGAGAAAAATCTTCCTCCACCAATGCTTAGTTCCCCATTCTTTAACAAAATACTTGCCCAGTCTTATCCTAGATTTACCTCTGCTTCTAGTTATAGTTTCCCTCTTTCCCCCACTCATTTTCCATCTTGATCATTGTTATTTTGCCCCCACTTCACACATTTTCCTATTTTAATATTGCATGAGTTACAAACACTGAAATACCCCAGTGAGCAACTCAGAATTTTCTGTCCTGTGCAAGCATTTCCCATAGGAAGAGTCACAACAGCCAGGGGTTTATTCCATCTTTAGAGAGATACTTAAGCTGAATGCAGCACTGCTAGAAAAGTGGTGAATTATTCATCCTCTGTACTATTTAGATACATTCACAGCTCATACACTTTATCCTTCTTCTTTCATATCCAACAAAACTATGGAGAAAATGGAGGTTGGAGTTTGTGACCAATCCTCCAATTGCATTAATCTAAACATCTAACATCTTGCTGCTTGAGAGTAGGCTCAAAAGTCTCTTACAGGACAAGACAGATGCAAAGTTACTGAAGAAGCTTTCTCCCAGATAATTTTAATCTAGTTATAGTCCTAGATTGGTTCAGCATTTACTTCTTCCCTTCTAAAGTTTACCTTAAGTAGGTCATGTTCACCAAAATTTTGGGAGTATCCCCAGGTCAATTTTCTTGTTTTAGTTGGATCTGTCCAAGCAAACAGGCATACTTGCTTTGGTTTCAACTCCATTTCCTCTTGTAAGCCACTGCAGGTTAAAATAAAAGGAGTAAAATGACAGCATTCACTGTCCACTGATTGAAGTGGTGCAAGCAGATCACAGTGCTATATATACTCCACCCCTCCAGCCTCTTGGGGTGAGGCATGAGGGGCCTAGGCTACCCACTCCAAACAAGTCCAGCTGTAGCTAGGGTCCTGGCGAACTAAGATCTATACTCCCACTTTATTCTCTCCACTTTCTCAAACGATGAAGACTGCTTAAAAGTAGCCAAAATGCTTCAATGAGAGTATGATAAAGAAAAGGGGTTTTTCTACTTGTCAAGGTACCATAATGGTAAAAGAGTACTACTTTCTTCACAAAGGATACCCCCCGGTTAAACAACCAATGGTGAATTGTTTCTTTCACATACCTCTGTTTATATCTGAGAGAGTCCCATGAAGTATGGTTAACAATGAGAGCTGGAGCAGCTCCCTCATGGTAATCCGAGAAGCTTATGAGAGTAGAATGCTCAGAAACATTCACATCTACCAGTAAGCCCCCATTCTGGAGAGAAAGTTAGACAGGAAGTTCAGTATTTGTTCTATGCATAAATTCAAGCTAGAACGGACTAATTTGTTATTTTTAGACCAGTCTTTCACCAGCATCTTAAAAATGAAAAAAGGAAATGTACTGTACATTATCTAGTAACAGTAAGTTCAAACACATTGGTCACTGGCTTAAGACAGACATCAGTAGCATCCACAGTCTATTTGTTGATTTAACTTAATTGAAAAATTATATTCAAATTATAACATTTTAAAGAATTACTTTATTTGGCTAAGTTCAGTAAAAAGTACAGGCAAGTATTCCCTTCACTTTCTATTACAAAACTCAAAGTTATATTTAAAAACTGCAATTTCCTGAATACTCCTTAAAAATCTGAAAGGCTACTCTGACAAACGTACTAAAGTTTTTAAAGGTATGACAAATACAGCAATAGCACATTAACAAACCGATCGCTGAGCGGAAAAGTTCTGTTGATAAACCTCTAAACAAATGATTGTAAGTCTTTCTTCTAATGCCTTTCCAGACCCTATTTTCTTCCATACTTGCAAGATATTTCTGAGATATATACAGCACAACTTTTCTCATTTACTTATACAAAGGAGATAACTCATGCTTTCCCTTTTGGATAGTCTCTTCAGATAGCTTTCTTGAATGCTTGTCTACCAAGATAAATTGATGGTTTTGCTATGTTGTAAGGTCTGGAGGAGAGGTGGAAGGGGACACATCTGGCTTTGAAAAAGATGATATTACAGATTCTCCAGCTCACATCAAAGGGATGTGAGAAATTATGGTTAGCATTCTACACAGTAGTAGTAAAACCTCACTACATATGGGACTAGAAAGGATTATCTTGCAAAGCTAAGCCATCTACTACCTTTGAAGAGTGAAGGAAAAAACCACACTATTCTAATTAAGTGCATCAACAGTACACCAGACAGAATCATAGAATCGTTTAGGTTGGAAAAGACCTTTAAGATCATCCAGTCCAACCATTAACCTAACATTACCAAGTCCACCACTAAACCAATTAAGGGCTTAGTAGCAACCCCACGCCTCCTGGCTTGCTGGCTGGGTTATTTATAATTAAAGTAAAAACTAGGAATCATTAAGATTGAAAGGATCTCTAAGATCATCAGTCCAACCATCAACCCAACACCACCATGTCTGCTAAACCATGTCCCAAAGTGCCACGTCTACCTGTTTTTTGAACACTTCCAGGGATGGTGACTCCACCACCTCTCTGGGCAGCCTGGTCCAATGCTTGACTACCCTTTCCGTGAAGAATTTTTTCCTAATATCCAATCTAAATCTCCCCTGGCGCAGCTTGAGCCCATTTCCTCTTGTTGTATCACTAGCTACTTGGGAGAAGAGACCAACACCCACCTCACTACAACCTCCTTTCAGGTAGTTGTAGAGAGCGATAAGGTCTCCCCTCAGCCTCCTCTTCTCCAGGCTAAACAACCCCAATTACCTCAGCCACTCGGCATAAGACCTGTGCTCCAGACCCTTCACCAGCTTCATTGC